GTGATCTCTGCTCATTGCAACCTCCACCATCTGGGCTCAAGCAATTCTCCTGCCTCAGCCTCCTGAGTAGCTGGGATTACAGGCGCCCACTACCACACCTGGCTAATTTTTGTATTTTTAGTAGAGATGGGGTTTCACCACGTTAGCCAGGCTGATATCAAACTCCTGACCTCAAATGATCCACCTGCCTCAGCCTCCCAAAGAGCTGAGATTACAGGCGTGAGCCACTGCACCCGGCCTCTAAGGTCAGTTTCTAAAGGAATGTTATTAATAATGTGACTCTAGGGGTACAGGGAAGAGATGAACTCCCAGCATCCAAGCTCCTCATTCAGTGCTTTGGCCTCTATATATCCTGGGATTCATCAATAATACATTAGATTCACACAGGGCTTTACCTTCCATTGGAGACTTTCACATACCTTCCCAGTTTAGGAAAATGTTCTACTCACCTGCAATGCTTTGTTGGCTTCTTTTATGTCTTCAATTTTAAGTTTTGATCTAAAAAGATTACAAATAGGTCCAAATTTCAGTACATATATTTAAATATAGAACATTCAGGATTTCAGTAGGTATTGGTATTTCATAGGATACAAAATTATGTATAGTATATGATCTTTATGGTCTTCTCTGGCTAGTAGAATATTTCATATTCTCCTATATTTTCTAAATGTCCTAAAGCAAAAATATTTTAGGTTTAAAACTTGCTTTTTAAGAAATACTGGCATTTTCATGTGATCATGACAATATTAATAGCTATCATTTATTGTAGGTTTACTCTGTGCCTTTGCATGCATAATCTCATGTAATCTATACAAAAACCTATTTTAAAGATGAAGAAATGTCTGATGAAGTTTAGTCACTTGTAAGAGGTCACAGAGCTGGCAACTGGGGGAGCCAGGATTCAAACCCTTGTCTGTGACCCCAAAGGGCACATGCTAACCATTATGCACGCTATTTCTCTAGCAAATACAGAAGTGCTAAGGAAGAAAATACTGTGAGCCAGGTGTGGTGGCTCAGCACTTTGTGGGGCCAAGGCGGGTGAATCATCTGAGTTCAGGAGTTTGAGACCAGCCTGGTCAATATACAGTGAAACTCCATCTCTACTAAAAATACAAAAATTAGGCCGGGCGCGGTGGCTCACACTTGTAATCCTAGCACTTTGGGAGGCCGAGGCAGGTGGAT